AATTAACTTCATGCAAATACTCATGGTTTCTACCTAATATTTTCCTCTGTCTGTGCTATGTTGGATAGAAATAGAAAATTAATAGTAACATTCATACTTCTGGAGCACTGCATCGCTCGCCTCTTCTTTCTACAGACTTTGCTATCTAGCTCCCTGTGCCAGACAGACAGATACTGCAGTGACAGTCAACTAAGTTATACATTCTGACAGTGCCTTTGCTGTGGCTAACTCACCAGCTTGTCAAAAACCCACTGTCACCTCCCAAGTACTAAGTTAATAAGCCAAAGAATTATATAATTTGCACTCACTGGTTAATTTTTTTATAAGGTGAATTAATCTTATCCATTTCTTTTCTACAGTATAGAAATTTTTTTTATCTGTATACACAAACATATATACATGTGAATACACAAACACACTCTTAAATACAATTATAATTTCACTCAATTAATCTCATGTCTCATAATTCTCTTTCTAATCTTTTTTGATTAAATGAAACCAAACTCAAGTCTGCGCTGTGCTATTCCAGGGGATGTCATATCATGTTCATTTAACAGACAGGATAATTTAAGCTGTCATTTCTGTCACTTTGAGTGTTTAATTGATTACTACATAAAGTCTTTCAAGCCATGGCATCTTGATAATCAATTTCATGTTTTATCATTGTATAACTTAGGATGTTAGTGAGGTTAGGGATGCAGAAGTATTCTATTAAAATGAGTATGTTCACATAGCTCAAAGATACACCAAAACTGAGTCTAACTCTGTACCTACAGAAATGACAGTGATTTACATACATACCCACCCAGTAGATCCATCTTAATCAGCGAATCTTCCAAAACATGACACAGTATCTGTCATTTTTCAGTACATACCATATGACATTTTCCTACTTATTCCAACCTCAGTTAGTTTGATTGCCCCAAACAGAAAAGACTGAGACTATATTAAGTGATTTGTTTTTTTGGAAAGCTTGTTTCATTTAATGCAAAAGCTGGAAAACGTAGGGTAAACAAACTGAGCACTCCAAGCAACATGTTTTGTGGTACAATCCTGGAGCAATACACCTCTCGAGCGCTCACAAACTGGCTTAGTTACTCTCCCAATTGTAGCCACTACATTAAAATGATGCAGGATTTCCTTAGATGTAATAAATAATGATGTAGAAGGCTGTAGTAATAAGAGCTTAAACCAGAGGCCCAGAGGCGTACCTTTTATAATTCTTCACACACAATAAAAAGCAAAACTGCATCAGAAACGCAAAAAAAAAAAAAAAAAAAAAAGAAGAAGACATAATAATACAAAATCTAATTCCTTAATTTTTGAAAATACAATAGAATGACAATAGAATCTCCATCCTGGTTCAATCAAATTAATGGTTCAACTACAAAGAGTTACAGAAACAGAAATCCACTCTGAAAGACAATCTCTTCTAGCAATAAAAGCAAAATTTGAATCTGCCATTTTAATATTTAAGTCATATAAACTAATTCTAAGTAATTACTTGATACACAATATAATTAACCCATGCAATAAATTACAGAATAAACCCAAGAGGTTACTTAATTGTCTCAATAACTGCAGTAATGACATTTCTGAAGCTTTTAACAGTGAATTAACAGCTGAAAACCAAAATTAATGGCCCAAGGTAAAGACAAGAAAACAGAATTTTCTGCTGTTAGTAACTGAATGAAAACAAATAATTCACCATTACCCCATTTTAAGTCCTTTCTTTACATTATTTTAACTGGTAATGAATCAAATAATTTGGTGGCTACCTTTATTTTAATGGTCCTCTATTTCTGATGGAAAAGGCCCTTTTTTTTTTCCTCTCCTCATCAGCTATCTTTTCTAACTACCTAACTTCAAACCCTCCCATTTGATTCACTCTAGTAGTAAGAAATGCTAGTATGCAAGGATATTTGATACACTGGCCCTTCAATATTAATTTCAAAATAGAATTTTACTCACTGTTTCCAAATCTATCTTAAGTAACTAACTGCAATCATATTCAGTAACTTCATGTTAAAACAGATCAGATGTTTTGAAGCCTCCGAGATATCAATTTACAGTATTTAATCTGTCTCTATTAAATCACAGAATCATGGAATCATAGAATCACAGAATGGTTTGGGTTGGAAGCGACATTAAAGCTCATGCAGTTCCAACCCCCTACCATGGGCAGGGACACCTCCCACTAGGCCAGGCTGCTCCAAGTCCCGACCAACCTGCCTTGAACACTGCCAGGGATGGGGCAGCCACAGCTTCTCTGGGCAACCCGTGCCAGTGTCTCACTACACTCATTGTGAAGAATTTCTTCCTAGTGCCTAATTTAAATCTACCGTCTTTCAATTCAAAGCCATTCCCTGTTGTGCTGTCACTACATGCCCTTGTAGAAAGTCTCTCTTCTCCTAGGACCCCTTTAGGCACTGGAAGGCTGCTCTAAGGTCTCCCTGGAGCCTTCTCTTCTCCAGGCTGAACAACCCCAGCTCTTTCAGCCTGTCTTCATAGAGGAAGTGCCACAGAGCTATAAACAGCCATAATATCTTAACAATCACTCACAGACAACTTTCTGCATCTGCAAACTTGATGATTCACTATAATAAAGTTATTTCTGGTAACAAGATGCCAGCTTTCATTACAGTACATTATTATTCAAAGTGTGAGATAACTACATTACTATATTATGACTTGCATGCCAAGATCATCATCTATCTTAAAGAAGCTGTTTTACTTGACCTACAGAATTCATACAGAGGATGTTCTGGAAACCAGACTTTCAAGTTTTGCTGTCTTCTCTTGGGTGTCATGAAGAGCAAGCATGAGATTCCACAGGAAGGGAAATGGTATGTAAATCTGAAAAGCATAGGCTGTATCTTCAGTCACCTATATGAGTTTACCTTCTCTTTAGCTCACCTATAGCAATAGGAGCAATCCATGCTCTTTTGGAAATATTTTGTTAAGACTACCTACTGATAGCCTTCTCTGTCTTGAAATGCCTCCCTTCTGTAATGTTCTGAATTGGTACAGCCATCTGCAAACCTGAAAATCATTAAATGAACTAAATAAAATTCAAACCCTAGTGTAAAACTTTATTACCTTTTATTATTAAGCTATAATGAGGCATGTGATAGTTCTAAATGTAAGTATGTATGTATTTTAACTAAAATGCAGGGTTAGAAAACTCAGCTGGAGCATCACTATCTATGAGATTCATCTTCCATGCTTCCGGAATTTTAAAAGTTCCCATCTAAATATCAATGATTTCTTATTTTCTGTTTAGAGCTTAAATATACATTGGTTACATATATGATGAATAACACATGAGCTGAGGAAAGACACTGTGATTCCAACTGATTCTAGTACTTTGGTATCTCGATAAAGGAAAGTCTTGCTCTGAAGTACTGTTGTTGTCTGCTCTGCTTGATTCTGGTAAAAAACCTTTTAACTGAAAATTTCTAACGGACTGAGGAAGAAAGGCAATTTTTGACCTTTACCTTAGAAGGCTAATCTTCCTATAGTGAGAACACTACTGGAGTGTGATCACTCAAAATAGCTTGTACAAAGTGAAGCAAGCTGCCTCATTCTTACATTGGGATCAAAGTCTTTAAACAAATACAAAGTTAACAGATCATCTCACATCTTCATAAGCTTCTTATAGTCCCTGATACAGTGGCTCTTATAAAATGTTAGTTTACTAATGCTCTTACACCAGGGGTAAATTACCTTGACTATCCTGTAGCAAGCATGAGGATAAGGCTGTCCCTAACAGCAGTTATGGAGCTAACATGAGTTAGTGAGTTAACCCCACAGCCTACACAGGTGCTCTTATCCTCTGGTAAATGAGAGGCCATTTACAGCCCTAATCGATAGTACAGTGCTTTAAGTTATCTCATATTGTGCAACCCTCATATTTCTAGATAAGCATGACATAATTTGAAGCCCTAGAAGTAAGTAAAAAAATTTAGATTAGTTGTTCTCCTTCATTCTGAGGATCTTCCATTGCTCAAAGTCATTTACTGTGGTTTCAAGAAAATCTATTTAAAGGTTTCTTTGAAGTCTGGAGGCTGAAAAAGAGATCATTGGAAATTTAAAAAGAAGGGGGGGGAGGGGAGGAAAATGTTTCTTTAAAACAGAAAACAAAACCTTCAGGTTCTCTTTTCTCTCCTGATCCCATCTCCCCCTCCACCCACAAATCACTCATATAATGCTTATATCATTAACCTCTATAGCATCACCAACTGAAAGCTGCTTTAGATAACACATTTAAATTCACACTACATCAGAGGAACTGACTCACCCTATTTAGTTAGAAACCTAACTTGTATACAAATTCTAGGTATCTAGGAAAACAGAAATTCTAAATGAAATGTATATTTTACCTGCATAATCAAAAGGGAGACATGCCATTGGTAACTTACAAAGAGAAAACTTACCTCAGCTAAGTCACTCTACAGATATTGTACTAAATCAGGTAATGGGTTGGGGCAATAGTGATGGCAGGAATGTTTAAATCATTATTTAAATTCAGATTGGCAGTGAGCTTTCAAAACAAATCTCCCAATTGTCTCCATTTACTGTGCTTGGGTTTCACAACACAGAGCAGTGTTAAAATACATGAACTAGATTCTTTTTCACTGAACCGAGATCAGAAGATTCATTTCAGGAATACATCTAATGCGCTACAAGTGTTAGGGAAGAGAAAACCAAGAGAAGTGTTCGTCTAACTTGCACAGAATGGATCTCACTCCTTGTTACAGGAGCATATCAAAAATAGTAGGCCTAAATCAACCCTGTAGCACCCTGGAAGAGACAGAATTACCTTGGATTTGGGTACAGATAACATTTTTCAGTAATAACAAGATCAAGTATGTTATATGAGACCACCTAACTGCACCAGAAACATGTCAGTCTGTAATCCACATACTAATATTTCATCTAAACCACGACTTCCTTCAAATTACTTGTAAACCATTAGGTGGTGCGTGATTGCCACTTGCCTGATCAAGATAAAAAGCACTGCCATCTCGGATCTCCCGTCGCTGTTTGAGGTCAGTTTCTGTGGTGTCCCTCGACAAGGCGATATATTCAACCTCCCGCTTTGTTAGCTCCTGTGGACAATAGTCTAACGTTACTACAAAAATAACACTATAACCCCAGTAAGTGAACTTTAACAATGAGCCTAGTGGTATAACTGTACAAAAGAGCTCTAGGCAGCAGCACAGTGATCTGAAATAACTCTGAACAAAATCTATATCTCTTATTTTTAAAATGTTTACAGTGCCTTCTGCCTCAAACAAAATGGTTTGAATTTCTGCTCAATAAACTTTTATTTTCCCCAAACCTGTTCTAAAACATGATAACCAGCTATATATTCTTTCCACTGAACATCTGTAACATCCTGTAAGTTCACCTCTAGTTCTAGACTCTAAAAAACAATCAGCATCTGCAAATTATGAATGAAACCCAGAAGTTTTCCACAAAAGATGTTCATTAACGCTTATACTGTGACACAGTTGTGATTATTATCTGTACGTGCTTTGCCAGTACACTATATTATTCTTATCTCTCCCTTTTATGTCATGAGACACAGTCTGCATCTGTAAAATGATAGACTAGTTAAAAAATGAGAACCCTTGGCTTATTGTTTTATTTTGATTCAACATGAAATATACTTAGAATTTTCTGTCTTAAAGGAAAAAAAAAAAATCCAAACTATATATTTATACCTGACGTTCCTGCTACTTCAATATGTGGGTTATCATGTGTTCTGTTAGGAAACGGATTCATGCTGAAATGCTCTTAGCCCTTACCCCTCAATTAAAGGTACGATATATTTAACAGATCTCTTTTAAGAGGTGGCTTTTAGCGATAGTTTTAGAAAAAAAAATCAAGCAGAAAAAAAAAATCATGAAAATTATTTCCTTTTCACTTTTTCAGTGCCTAGTGGTTATAAAGCCACCCGTTCCTTCACGCTGCAGACAGATACAACCGTACTTTCTTATAATTAAAGGAAAAAAACCCTGGAAGGTGAGTGTCCTGGGTTCAGCTACAGCAGTCATTTTTTCTCCTTCTTAGTAGCTGGTGCAGTGCTGTGGTTTTGACTTTCAGTCTGGGAACAACGCTGATAACACCGATGTTTTTAGTTGTTGCTCAGTAATGGTTACTCTGACCAAGGACTTTCTCAGTCTCATGCTTTGCCAGGGAGGAGGGGAAGCCGGGAGGAAGCAGAGACAGAACAACTGACCCAAACTGGCCAAAGGGGTATTCCATACCACAGCACGTCATGCCCAGGACAGAAACTGGGGGGAGTCACCCAGAAGGCCCAGATCACTGCTCGGGTCGGGCTGGGTATGGGTCGACGGGTGGTGAGCGGTTGTGTCCTTTTCCCTTGTTATCTCCCTTACGGTGTTAGCAGTAGTGGTTTGTATTATACCCTAGTTACTGGAGTGCTGTTATCTCAACCCATGGGAGTTACATTCCTCTGATTCTCCTCCCCATCCCTCCGGGAGCGAGGGGAGGAAGAAGTGGGGGGAATGAGCGAGCAGCTGCATGGTTCCGAGTTGCCGGCTGGGCTTGAACCACAACAGTGAGATACAAGAGTGTTTTCTTCGACAAACAGCTCTATCTATCTATAAACACATAGTAGTAGCTCTCAGCAAAGGCAGATATAAGTTTTCCAGGTTTACAGAGCCTCAGTAAAGGAACCACAGCATGTATCAGCTCACATGCAAAGACCAGCCTTCATGTGCTTGTTTGGCATGGCACTGAAAGAGTAAGCTGCAGCCTTTCTAATATAGCTCATACAAACAGTGGTATAAATAAGAAGACACATTCTATGTCTCATGCCTGGATATCAGGTGTATCCCAAGTCCTTTTTTCAGGTTATACCAAGCTCTTCTCATTTATTTTAAGGAATTCATCAAGCTATCAAGTAGCACATCTAGTTTGCTGAATTAAGAAATCTTTGCTCTCCTTTCCAAAGTTCAGAATCTTGCAGCTTTCTCCTGCATGCTTTACCCCTGAGAGTTAAGTCTTTGAAGCAGTATCTTTTGATTTTTAAAGGAATGGCTGATCTTTTTGACAACTGTTTACACACCTCCATTTGTTACCCTTCTGCCCAACCAGATTCCAGATAGAGCTCATGGCAGACAAAAGTCCTACTCACACGACCTTTTGGGGCAGACAAGCCCCCCCTCCTATCTTCCTGAATTTAAGGGCACCAACAATTTAAAAGTGAAATTTTGCACATGATGCTGACATGGTTCACACAGATGGACGTAGGCAAGTTCTTCCCACATTCCAAGAGAGGATCATACACACATCTACTCTTTCTAATCACTCATGATAACTGTTCCCAAATGTTACTCAGAACACTCCTCTCCCAAATCCCTTCGTTCATTTCTTTTTTTATATAATGAAGCAAAAATGATTTGTTGTCTGTAACAGTAGGCAGATATCTTCATCTTCTAACATACATAATGCCTAGAACAAACTGTTTCTCCATTTGTGATAGCATATGGTAACACAGTTTTCCAACTTTTTTTTTTTTCTTTTCCCCTGGAGTTTAAGCAGAAAAACATGTATTAAAATGTCTGTACTTTCTATTCTTCCATAACAAAACCTGAACTTTGGAAAGCACATTTATGGAAAAACTTATTTACCTCCCAAGTAGCTTGCTTTAAGATTTTCTAGGACTATCTTTAACCATTTGGCTAACAGAGAAATGACTAAGTGACATTAATGACTGTCTCCAAGAATTAAAACCAACGTACTTACCAGATATTGCATGGCAATAGATCGCCGGAGAGGCCCAGGAGGACCAATAAGAAAGACATCTTGGCCAAGAAGATCTTTCTGCATTATCCATCTTAAATGGTGGACTATGGCCTGGGCCAAAGAATCTGTCACTTTGAAACACAAAGCAAGAACACATTATTCAATTCTGAAAAGTATGAAGATATCTGGTCATTCACACATCTTTTTTGTTCTTATTTCCAAAAATAAAACCAAGACAGAAAAATGTGCTGCCCTAAAGCTGGACAGCTGAAAAGCAGAGAATCACATGCACAGTTTATATAGACTATTTAATTTACATAAAGTTTATACACCTATCTTACCCATTGCCTTTTTCTCTGCACAACTTCTTTCTTCAAAAAAACAACCCAATAAAACCAGGGGAAAAAAAAAAAAAGCTGTTGATTCTCATTTCACATTAAACTGATCAAAGCAAAGACTGTTTTTATTACCCAGTGTTGAGTGGACTTCTCAGCATCAGTTAATCTAACAAAGTTACATTATTAATAATTTTTAAAAGATTTATCCAGCCTAAATCCCAGAGCTCCTGTGAATCATGAACTTAAAAATACTGTGTTTGCATTAGAGTAAAAGTAATGTTCAGGGACATATTTAATTTGTGCTATTCGTAAAAGACAACTACATTTCTGTTTACATTTTGACACAATAAACCACAGAATTAAATTATCAAGGAAATGCAAACTTTGCAATATCACTATATCACTACCACACAACTTCCAAAATCATCATAAAAAATAACTCAAAGCAGATCCATTTATTTCTATTAAGTATACCATACCCTTATGATTTAAAAAGCAATAACCTGATTATAATTAAACTAAAACGTTTACTACATGCACACAAATGTTGGCAGCACTGGAAAGCATCATGCAGAGAGACCACACTGAAGGAGAGGCACCGTTCCTGTTGCCATACATCACTATCCCCAGAATACTCCTTCACATACACCCCAAGCAAAGCCTGGCTCTTTCACAGACACAAGCGAAAAAGCACCTCCCATACGAAGATAGAAGAAAGTTGGGGCTGTTCAGCCTGAAGAAGAGAAGCTGCGTGGAGACCTCATAGCAGCCTTCCAGTATCTGAAGGGGGCCTACAAGGATGCTGGGGAGGGACTCTTCATCAGGGACTGTAGCAATAGGACAAGGGGTAACAGGTTCAAACTTAAACAGGGGAAGTTCAGGTTAGACAGAAGGAAGAAGTTCTTTACAGTGAGGGTGGTGAGGCGCTGGAAAAGGCTGCCCAGAGAATTTGTGAATGCTCCATCCCTGGCAGTGTTGAAGGTCAGGCTGGAGCAAACTGATCTAGGGGGAGGTGTCCTGCCCATGGTGGGGAGGGAGAGGGTGGAACTAGATGATCTTTAAGGTCCCTTCCAACCCAAACCATTCTGAAGCACTAGTGCAGGAGGAGAAGGAGAACACAAGCAAGCCAGAAGAGGATGTATGTATGCATGTATGTATATGGTTGCTTTCAGGATAATCTGACAAGACTAATGATGGGGTCTGAAGCTGAAGCCTCAAGGCTAGTGCCTGGGATGCTGAAATGCACTAAGAAAGGAGCAAGAGGTGATGAAATCTTCAAATTATTAGTTAGCTATTTACATTTTTTCAGTGTGATTGCTAATTGTAATTAGAAGCCAAAATTTTAAAAAACAAGCCTTGGTTCTACATCAGATTCCCATCTCAGGAAAGCAGTATGTGCGGGGCAGAGTTAAGGACGGCGAGCAATAGTGCCCCTCAGTTCTGATGGGTTTTGGTTCACTGTTGAATCTTTTATACCAGAATTAGAATTACTTTTTGTAAGATGACAGAAGCTGTACTAAATGACTGTATGAGATTCAAGGAAGATTTTTCAAGTATAAAGTTGGCTAAGGAAGACTTTATAAAAATTTTTAACTGCAAGTTTTGGTCAGGCACTCAGGAAAACCATTTGAAACCATCTTCTATGTCCAGAGAAATCTATTATATCCTTACCATCAATACAACCAGGAATAGCATACACATGTAGGTAAGCAATCTATGCATTAGGATTATCAGATTAATTGTAAATGAACATTTCAGGTTTGCTTTTTTGTTTTCTAAACAACTGTCATTAGCATGCCCAGAATTAGTTTTCATATATGTTATGGTAAGATCCTATGAATGAGAAATTTCTTCTTCTTCTTCACTGCTGCACTGTTTTCCAGCAATGCACATCACATACACCGCACACCACAGGCCACATGCAACTACATTCCTCACAGAATAACGTGTTCCTTTCTATGCGATTTTCAAGACAATTAAGAAAGTTCCTCTTATATATATTCTTTGTGAAATGAAGGATACTCTGTCCAAACTCTACTACTGGACAGGCATGGTAATTTGAAAAGCACTGCACAAATAGAATATCTTACATTAAAGGTACCGTTGAAATTGTAAGACAGAGATCTTACTGAAATGCACATTCATTATGATTTCTACTTTTTGTATGAACTTGCCAATGTGCCTTTAGTGTATTTTTATAACTGTTCTCGAAAAAAAAAGTTACTTAAAGTGGACAAATAAGCCTGGAAATCTTGCTGAAACACTGAATTCTTTCATGTCAAAAATCATGCATTAGGAGCATGGCAAAACCAGCTTTGACATAGTATGACTACAAATGCCTCTGGTGTAACTCACATTAGTATGTGTAGCTATCTTCTTTATTTTTAGGATGGTCTCAAGAAAAATCTCAGGTCAGACATAAAAGCGGTACCATAAATAGAAAAAGGACTTAAGAATGTACAGCAGCATCTGCAAGACAAACTGCCATGTAAAAGAGAACATGAGTGAACAGCATTGAAAAAAATCTAAAATCTTCAGAAAAAGATCCCTCTGAAAACCTTAAGGAATTTTAGGGCACTTAAGAGTCTCATCATTATGTTTAAACAGTGAAATCTACTCTGAAATGTTAATATGAAAAATGCAACTTTAAGAAGTGTCCTACAATTTCCTAACTTTGCTTTATTTTGAGAAAAGAACATGAAAGACACAATTCCTTACTGATATATTTCCTAGAAAATGGCTTCACTGCTTCACCATTCATATCATTCTCCTCACATAGAGATTACAGCTGGAACCATTATAATGCATGTTTTCAATCACAAAGTCAGCACACTGACCATCTGCAAACTAACTCAAAGGAAGCCTGCTACAAATAACGTTGACAATTCAAAGCAAGTGCTCCCTAAAGTGAACTGTCATGACAGCAGCTTCCACTTGTCGGTTCCTTACGTTCTATCATGTAATATCCGTACATGGCTACAGATACTAAGCTTCCTTTGGTTTCCCAGTTACATCCCTCTAAAATCAGAATATAAAATTTTCTTTGTAGTCACAGTCCATGCTGCATAAACTGTTTCCACAACACCGTATGCTTTTCAAAAGCAACTGCAGATGCACATACACAGTACTTCATATATTATTTCTATATATTTAGACTATTTGTACCATGGTATCTGCATTGCGAAGCTTTTAAGTTTTCTCTAACTCGACTTGCAAAAGTTTCTGTCTGTTCGAGTACTGTACATTAACTTTACTAGAGGCACCATATAATCATTTTCTATGACATTTAGAAGACAGGAGAAATTAGCTGAAAAAAGCATCAGCATGTATATTACAGCAATTTTTATTAATTATTCCGTGAGTCAGATAGTACCTAATGCAAACTGGGTTTGTACAGTCTGTTTAGCAGCACTTCGCTGATCTGCAGTAGTTGAGTAGCTGGCCCTATATTCTTAATCTGCAGGATGGTGCGTAGGAAGCCTCTACCATGTATTCTCAAAGACACCATCTGGCACATGCAGGAGAGTAGTCTGTGCTACAATTTGCTATTCCTGTGTATCAAGGATGGCCAGCAAAAGAAACTGCATTCTATTGCTTTGTAATACGTGCTAAGTAGGACAACACCTACCAGAATCTGCGTAATTGTTTTGTAAAGTGAGCAGCTGAAGCTGAATGGAGAAATCCCCATGTAAGAGGAGAAAATGTTGTAGATAGGTTTTGAAGCAAATGCAGCAGCTGCTCTTGTTAGAGCCACAAATCAGCTTTTAATAATACCAAGACTGAAATGGCTATGCTAGCCGCGGAAATTTTCCAGTTCACTCATAGTTGAATTCTTGGCACATGCTACACTCACTGAAGCCATAAGATTTACTAGAGATAGCAGACAGTATCTGCTGGCAAGTCCCTGTGTCCCACCTACAGAAGAAATCCCATAAATGAAGGAGTCACCTACCTCTTCCCACAGAGCAGAGAAAGACAGTTAAATGAACCAATTCCCAAGGATATCTACTCCAGATGTGGTACAAAATATACTAGAGCTCATGTCCCTGTATGACTCTAGTTTGGTCATCACATAATAACCAGCAGGCACTTAAAAGACAATACACATAATTTTCAACAGAATTAAAAAAAAAAAGACCTTTGCATACTCCTAACTTCTGCTACAATGCATGTTCAGAGACTGAGAATAGCTCCTTTTATAAGGGGAAGCAGAAGTTCATGAAGCAGAAAAAGATCTCCCTCTCATTCACTTATCCAGAGGGGTCCTTTAGCTTCCCACAGCAATCTGCAGTACATCCAGCACAGGGGGCAGCTGCCATAAAATACAGTTGAGGAAGAAGGGGACAGGGAAGGACGTCTTCCTCTAAAATCATAAGCACATTTCAAAAATTGAAAATGTTAAAAAACCTGAGCTCAGTAATACAATGAGGGTGGTAAAATCCTGGCACAGGTTGCCCAGAGAGGTGGTGGATGCATCATCCCTGGAGACATTCAAGGCCAGGTTGGATGTGGTTCTGGGCAACCTGATCTAGATGTCTGCTCATTGAAGGGAGGTAGGAACAGATGACCTTTGACAGTCCCTTCCAACCCAAACTATTCCACGATTCTTTGATTCTGTAACTTATTTCACAGCTTGTTCAGGCTGGGGGACAACGAGGGAAGACAGTGAGTTGCCCAAGACACAGTGAAGGAGGTAGCATGGCCAAAGTGAAGACGGAGGCACTCGCTTCTATGTGGGCTTCATTTAGCAATTCCGAAGTAAAACATTGCCGCTCATTCAATTTTATTCTGATGCACAGAGCCCAAAGAGTTTCAAAGTTTCATAACATGGTTACATCACAGACAGTTTGCACTGAAATACTATTTTTCCTCATAAATTTTTAATAGAAACAGTCTTCATTCCAAGAATTTTTGTTCTTGCGGTGGTAAAGAAACAAGTTGGGAGTCTTTGCTGGGGCTCAGAAAGGGGAAAGTTACTTCCTGGATGGTCCTGTAAACTCATTTATCATTAATTCCTGTGAGTTGATTGCTTCACAGAAAGATACAAGTTCTGCATAAGTAAATCATATTTCTCCATGTGAGTATAAATGAAAAGAGAATATAAAGGAATCATGTCAAGCCAAATGGCTTTCTGGAAAGAACTGTGAATGGGATTCAGAAGACCAAGTTTCTCTTAGTGATATATAAACATGGAATAAATGAAACTATTCTTAGCTGGATGTACAACTCATAAGGAAACACATAGCCAGCGCAGTTATCTCAGAACTCAGACTCCAACTGGCGGGACATATTGTGTCTGTTTTTGAGCGCAACCGCTCAGTTCAGCACCAAACAGTTTGAGAGAAAAGAGAAAGAAGAATTATCAAAAGAAATTGAAAATAAGTCTAGCAAATAAATGACTGAAAATCATAACTGTTTTTCAATATAGTAGACAGGAATCACAGTGAAGGGAAGTTATCTGTACATCATGGATATACTAGATAGAACAAGCCCCAGGGAACCAAAAGTATGTCCAAAAATACCTTAATGAGGCATCTGAAAAAGCTTACTCTTTTTTATTTATTTTATTTTTTTTTAACAAAAGAATTGTTATTTACTGCAGCAAAGTGTGCAGAGAGGTTCTGGAATCTATGTCACCAGCATGAGGAGGACAAACATCTCTCAGGAATTATTTGGATTCAGCCAACAAGGAATTATTTGGATTCAGGCACAAAAAACAGCGCGCACAATGCCCTGAGCTCCACCCTGACCTTTGCTGAAGGTTTCCATATCCTCGTGTCTCCCTGTTCCTCACTCTCACTACAGACAAAACAGGGATAATGGTGTAAAACATTCAGAGGTCTACTGACAAAACCCACACTATTTCAGATCAAGACTGAAAGTTGGTAACAGCCAAGCAGCAGATCAGTTGCAAGCTGACATGAAAACTCAAACTGCTGAAACAATCACCATCTCTGACCACGGATACCTTTCCTTAGTCTAGGAAAGAAGAAATGTAATGGCAAAAGTCTTCGTTAGTGAAGATCGCAGCCATCCTGCAATACACCCTGTCTCTGTAATGTGTTGCACTCTGACACTCGGATTTAAAGTTAACAGAAAGAAGAATGTTTCAGTGCCAATCTGAAACTACTTTGAGCAGAAACTGAACACACACACACACACACACACACATACACTTGGCCCTGCTTCAGCACGTGGTGCACACCATCCAGGGTGAAGGACACAGAGGTATCTTACTCTTAAAGCAATACTTAATGTTATTTCTTCGTCACCTGGAAGTTAACTCCTGACACCACTGAGCCTAGTACAGAGAAATAACTCCAATTTTCTCACATTGAAACAACTACATTTCAAGCACAGAAATCCCTTTAGTGCTACTTTGTTGTTTGTTTTTTTTTTTTATTTCATTATTACATGCACAAACCTTCTGTTTAAACTCCTCACAATAATTAGTCTTCCAACAACACTAACAGGATTTATCACTTAACACCTTGTACACAGGCACGTCACTTTTGATCACACACTGGGGACAGTGCTCAGACTTAGGACACTTGGCACAAAACCACACACTGAAATTCCACAGTTCACTGCAGTTGCATGTAACGTCAGTACAGCCAAACTCCCAAATGGACTTGCACCTTCAGACAGTAGCAGAGCCGACATGGTATTGCAAGAGAACATCCTTTTTCCTGCCTTAACAAGGTTTTGCTGTCATTGAAAAAAGTGTCCTGGAATAGCTATGTTAGGAAATGATTTGTCAAGGTGAATAAATACTGGTAGCAAACAATAAGGTACATCGTCATTTTCATAAAATTTCCAGAAACCATTAATAAAAGCAGTGCACTGATATGAGCTCAATGTAAAAAAAGAAAAAAAGAAATTAATATGCATTCTCACAATCCAACTTTAGATCTAAACTACCATGGAAAGCTGTACAAATTTTCTCCAGAATATAATTAAAGAATCTAGCTTTTCAGGCATACTGAGATTTTAAAAATATAGGGTTTTCTTTTACTGATAAAAGAAGCAGTGCAAAAATAAGTGCCCCCTTTCCAGAATGTCAGACACAGTTATGACAGAAATCCCATTTAAAAAACAATCTCATGTGTATGACTCATTTTTACTTTTCACTTATAAAAAGAAAAATAAGAACCATTCAGATTTTATGTAACTTTATCATCTTCCAAGAAAAATCCATTTGCCAACAACAGCAAAACAGATGAGTATTTTACATTAACTCACAAAATGGAGTACTTCATACAGAACTTGCTAAGTACCTAGCATAAGACCTGAAAAGCAAAGACATTCAAACATAAGGTAACCAACAGTACCTATCCTATCCATTTCTGCAAAATGTAACAATGTTCAAAGAAGATGTTAAAGATCAATTTGGTAACAGAACAAAATATTTTGGTCTCAATTATGTGACAAAATAAGAATTGTAAAGTTTTGTAGGTACCTCAGCCTTCTTGTCCATTGTTACCAGTTTACCAGTCTTGCTCATCACAGGGGGGGACACTTTCTTTGACCTTACTTAATTTCAAAGATCCATATGTTTGCTGACAACAAGAATGTGACAATCTGGGGATACTAAATATCACAGTAGAAAAACCATACATCTACTATACAGCAGAAAATTCTTAGGACATATAATCATATTGCGATTGAATGACAATTTTAAACTGCCACAGTTTATGACCAAACAATGAAATTACTGTATTATTTTTCGAAGTAATTGCTGGATGATACCCCTTTTGAATATTTAAATATACACAAATAATCCTTTTACCCACTAATCAACGGGACAAGTTATATACAAAGTTAAGAGATTCCTACATAACCAGCTGAACCAGAGGTGCAGTAAAGAACTCAGCAGAGAAAGCCTTCCCAAATTGCATGCTTTTTCAATACAACTTTCTTTGATAATTTCAGTAAAGTCAGTGCGGTGACGTGAGTGAGTAAAAGGTGTTTGAATAATGGCTTGAAAATCATTCAAAAGGAAAGCAGATTCTTACTGTAGTTCTGTGGAACGAATTCTGGGTTCTTCGGTGTTTTGAGTTTAAAGGACACATCTCCAATAGTGACGGTATCGCCTAAAAAAAGAGAAAATAAGTCTTTTAGTTCCCAGATGCTTTTTAAATGTTAAATGTCTTTATCTTAAAGTTTAACTCTGCAGTGGTCAGGCTGACTGTGTATTCACAAAGCAGCCTCTACTGTGTTGGAGAACTATTAGTTTACTAATCAGGCTCTGCTGCTTTTCAATAGATCAAGTACCAGGACAATTTCCATTTAATTAATATTACTTTTTTTTCTTTTTCTTTTGTTGTTGTAATAACCATAACTTTGTCGGGAGCTATGGAATTCAAGCTCACTGTAGAACCCCATTCCAGCTACCATTACTGATTTACTGAAATTAAACCTTTAACACGTTTCTCTGCAGATGTAGGAGTGAAAAACACTTGTGGCTGTGACGAGTTTTCAAGCAGCCTGAAACAATGCCTGTTGGCAGTACAAAACAACATATTCATGTCAGTGAGTCCTTGCTGCACTCTCTGACTCCATGGCTGCAGCACCTGGCACCTTTCCAAGGTCTGAGAGGTGTCAAGCATTTCTTGCTCTGGGTTTCACCAAAACTAAAGCACCTCGACATTTTATTTACTGGTCTCTTACTAAGACCTGCCTGTCTCATCCATCTTTCTGCAACCACAGGCTTGAATTAAATTGCAGGGCATGCTCTGTCTTCTCTCTCTTGGAAATCAAAAGCGAAATCTAGTTTGCAGCCAGGAAATGGGCACGCACCAAGCCAGCGGTGGTCACACAGCAAAATAGCACAACACCCAAAACTTGTGAAGCCAAGAAAATGAGCTGTGGACTGGTAACAAACTCGAAGTTTCTTTTTTTCAAGAGACCATCTGGGCCATGCAAATGAGTTCACAAGTATTAAGACCATGAAACCAAGATGACTCTAGTAAAATGATGTTTTTTCTATTACTGCTGCTGAAGACACCACCACCTTTGCTGCAAAGTAGGCACTGTAGTGTGTGCATGAGGATGGAGAGGAATACCAGAGTAAGACTGCTGCACAGGGGTGCAGTTTTGCCACAGTACTAATTACACTACCTTTCCACGAACTGAGCCACGTTTTGGAACTGCGTCTTGAGCTTTTTTCAGAACCAAGATGTAGAAAGTACATAGTCCATGAACAAGATCCAACTCTAAAAATCCTTTTGTAGAGCTGCACCTTGTCCTGCTCTGTCCAAGGGGGCCCAATCTGTGGTTGCCTATTTCCAGCACTGCACAAGGAGTCAAAGAGTTCGGAAGACCAATGCTGGAACCAGAGAGGGAGATGCTGAAGAGGAAGCTTGTCCAAATTAACAGAGGGAACAAAGACTCCTCCCATACATACTGCAGCTCTCCTTTCAGTCAGCAGTGACTCTTCCAGCACACACAGATGTTACTGCTCATCTCACAGCACTGAGAATGGTTCTGACATGACTCACACAATCCATGGGAAAGGTTACGCTTTTAGGACTAGATTTATAGCACTCAGAGGAGAACCACCTACCACAACAAACAAGAATCAGCAAAGGAAGGATTACAGCTGATTTCCTCCCAAATTTAAGGGCTTAACAATGATGCTGAGATTGGGAATCACAGCCTGACAAGCCTGCACATGGGTCTTTTTGTTGCTCCTGAAGTCCAAATAATCAGACCCCATTTTTTCCTTAAAATATTAGCAGAGGGTGGCAAACTGGTGGTTGTGCCTGCATTTTACATGCCTGAAAGTGGGACACTTAGGCAACAGCAGTACTGCCAAATACATGGCCCAGGATTCATCCCTGGTCCTAAAGACAAGCAGCACCAAACAGTTCCCACCCTTCTTGCTAGAGCTAAGCACCCTTCTCTAGCAGATCTGTGCAGGAGCCAAGAAGTGGAACAGTCCCAGACAGAGCTAGGGTTAAGCTAATGATCAAGCAGCATTTTAAGGCTTTAGCTCATTTCCTGGCCTACGCTGAACTTGCAGTTCAAATGCACCTAAGAATACCGTGCCCTCTTCAGCCTGAAGCATTCAAACTCACTCCAAAAGAAAGTCCTGCAACAGCTTAGGGTCCTGGTCCCCACTCTAGGAACTATTACATAAATTAACGAGTCACTGGACAACATACACACCACTGCAGGGAATAAAATGTAGGCTTTGGATTTCCTAGGGTTTTGCCCACTTTCTGAAAGTTTTAAAGTAAGCAAAATTATTTTATTGCTTAAGCATCATCTCCCTTTCCCTTTCCTCTGTTGCAGCTCCAATCACTCTTTCTCAGTAGTGAACAGCTAAAGGATTGACCAAAATGCCTCCAAGTTGATGAAAACATCCTAGGAACCCACTGCTTCCTGCGAAAGTTGACACCTCGTTCATTAGCTCAGCTAGGAAGAATTTTAACATTCCAAAAAGAGCAGGTTGCCTGATATATCCTTAGGATATTAGTGCCAGCTTATTTTCTCACCACTCCCCAGACAACATGCAATGAGACAAGAATATATGACTAATCAGCTCCTAACTTAGATCACCTCTGCTTAGGTTGTAAATGCTCTTTCATGCATAAACAGTCTTCCAGAACACAGTAGGGACGAGATGCTGAAACAACAAGGTATCAGACTTTTTCAATACATTGGAATGGGTATAACCTACATGAGATTATTTTAATTACCTACTTCATTGACACAGTACTGAAAAGCCTTAGTTGGTTTCCTGTACTTCTTAAAAACAAAAACACGCCAGGACCGAGTTTGGTCTAGGTGAAAAACTGTAAATGTGTCTCTTCTGGTGGTATTTATGTCAGCCCATAACAGGCTAACCCTTGATGAACATATCTGACCATGTCCAAAAATTCCACAAATATTCCAGCCATCAATGGACCCTACAATCTTTCATGAAAAATGGGCTGGGGGGAAAATACATGCAAGATACGGAGAGAGCTGAGCACACAAAATCCCAAGCATACAGTTAGGACATTCAGCTTTAACATGTTTGTTGCTGCTTGGAGACAAACTCTGCCTCCAGCTTGCATCCGTCCAAAAAGCAAAAACATTAACAGTGTTTAACAGAACTTCAGCAACAATCAACCAAGACAGCAGAGCCTATTTTCCTAGCTAAATGAGCACAGGAGGGGTTAGCCCACTAATCTTATCACACACTTCCACCTGGGCTACATTTTCTTGTCTCAATTTGTTTCTTCTATACTTGTTTAAAACCTCACATTTTGTTACTCCATTTCCACTGCATTTCCAAACTCTTTGAACTGAGATGTCATTCCGGACAGGCTCTTTCCCATGGTTCACCAGCTGGCAAGGAACTGACAACAGCCTGCTTGGTAAAATGCTGGCGTTAAATCAGCAAGTCTCATAATTTGAGAACATGTATCCTAAATCATTTCACTCCACAGCAAGTTATGGAACAGCCCATGAATACTCCAACCTACCTCACAAGTTATTACCGTAGTATTGTGGACAAAAGCTATACACACAGGGCTTTACAATGAAGACTTTGTAGCCTTTATCAGGCGTGCTTAGGCAAGCAGCGATGTGCCCCTGGGTTCTTATCTCCCCCACAGAAAACAGTAATCTTTGGTACCACTGTCTTTTGGGATAACAGTGGGATACATGCAGTGCCTGATGTACACAAAGAGATATGGCTGCTGAAAACAAAACAATTACCAAAATAAACCAAAATCCAAAAGGTAAAGGGAACACGTCATTCAGAGGTGGAAAACATACAAAGCAGATCATTTAAAAGCCCATGCAATATGGTTCAGAAATTGGCAGACACAAAGATTGTGACCCAATAACGGGACCCTGAAGAGATCCTATGAAACAAAGAGATAAGAACACAGCCTCAGTATATGCAGCAAGCTCTTTCTAACTGTACCTGGAATAGACAAGTGTGAATTGCACCTCTGGCAAAATGGCAATTCGCACACGCACATAGAGCTAGCCAGTAACTGCAGTGCTCTGAACCTGATATGCTCTCTTCTTTATAGCTAAATATTAGACAGAAAACAATATTAATACCTACATCTGCTTTTTATAACTGACAAGGGTCCTTCAGGTGAGCAGGCCTATTTCCTCCACTCAGTCCACTGAGCTACTGAACGGAAAGGCAAGACCTCCAGCTCTAAGCTGCAGAGGTGGCAGCCAGGGGCTAGGAGCGCTTTGGCAGGGCATCACTGCACAAACACCCCGCGCATTTATTCTCTCCAGCATCTTCTACTCACTGTTCTCTGACACGGAATAGCAGGACTTGATGGACTTTTGTTCTGACCTGCTGTGGATTTTTCTGTTACAATCTCAGTGAGAAGGCTTCTTGAAGATGCAGCTTTATCATGCGCTTGGCACCTTTGACCAATCTTCTGTTTAATGGCTAGTATCACACCAACTATTCCTCTCTCCTCTGCCCTTCCCAAAAAGAGACTATTCTCTAATTCTACTATTTTTTCCTCTATGTTGAGAAGAAAAAGCCACTGCTGTTTAAATTATTTACAGCAATGCTGGTCATATCTGACGATAAACAGATTTCATCTCAACTACAATTTAAGAACTTAAGAAGCAGAAAAAGGTTTTATTTCTTCTACTTGTGAAATGACCAGAAATTTCTTCTCTGGTGAAATGACCCACTAAGAAGGAAATGAACAAATTTTAAATGGCTATTTTTAAATAAACAAATTCTACAGCAAAAGAAAACACCTTGCACAGATGCACAGGTGTGTTTATTTGTTTTTTGAGTACACAACAGAAACAGTTCCAATCTGATGTATAAATCTTTATACTATCAGGGGTTTTATAAGACACTACAATGAAGCTTCCGGGACACTGAGGTTTTAGCTGGCTGAAATGATTGTCTTTTTGCCTCTTTATTCCTGAATTTATGCGAGATTAACACACACGGCAATAGTCATTTTAGTATATTACACATTCACTTGTACACAGACCATCCATCTGGTCTCAAAAGCCAGTAACAGCAAGAGCATATTAAAACTGTGAAGGTGCTAAGCTCTGCTAACATTAATTTCTGTGTGTAAGATCACACCTGTTAG